GGGGAGAGGCGGCGAAAGGAGCTACCGGCCCCCCGCCAGTCGCCGTGGGGCCCGGCTGCCCCGGGGCTCGGTGTGGCGGTCGCGGCCCGGGCTGAGCCGGTCCCGGTCCCTTCGGTGGGGCGGTGCCATTAAACCTGTGCGGGCCTGCCCGGCCCCACAGCCTGCCGCCGCCTGCCGCCCCGCCCGGCCTGCCCCCCTCCTCTTCCTCCTCCTCCTCCTCACCGCGGCGCTCGAGCTTTGGGGCTTTTGGGGGTTTTTGTTGTTGTTGTTTAACTTTTTTTTTTGGATTTCGTCCAACAGACGGGCTTGGCCAGGGCGTACGCGTTCCCATTTCCATTCTCGGGCAGGGCCTTGGGGATCGGCGATGTGAATCACGGCGCTGTTTAACATGTAAACAGTAGTAAAACCCCGCGTCTTTCTTCCTAAACGCTGAGGGCTTAAATGTCGCCAAACCTGACGGGCCGGTGCACCTGAGATCCACCACCAGGATGGGGTTGGAGGATCCTCGGCAGCTTCCCTCAGAGATCCCACCGTGAGAGCCGGGGTCGCTGTGGGGGGGGGGGGTTGGCCTGTCCGGCCCCGTGTCCCTGTCATGTCCCGGTGTAATTTTAGATTTTACTAACGAGCTCATCTGCGTCACGGTGTCTACCTTGGCCTTCGCTGGGGGACTGACAGTTCAGGCTCGTAATCCCGCTCGCCCAGCCCCAGCTGGTGGTGACCATTCCTTTAATCGTTATGGGACTTGGCTTCGTGCTGCCGTGCAGGGACTGGCCGTGCATGGATAAAATGAGGGAGAAAATTATTTTTGCTAATCATAGAAGGGTTTGGATTGGAAGGGACCTTAAAGATCATCTCGTTCCAACCCCCTGCCCTGGGCAGGGACACCTCCCACCAGACCAGGTTGCTCAAAGTCCTATCCAGCCTGGCCTTGAACCCCTCCAGGGATGGGGCATCCACAGCTTCTCTGGGCAACCTGGGCCAGGGTCTCACCACCCTCATTGTAAAGAACTTCTTCCTAATATCTAATCTAAATCGCCCCTCTTCCAATTTAAAACCATTACCCCTTGTCCTGTCACTGCACTTCCTGACAAAGAGTCCCTCCCCAGCTCTCCTGTAGCTCCCTTCAGATATTGGAAGGGGCTATAAAGTCTCTCTGGAGCCTTCTCTTTACCAGGCTGAACAACCCCAGCTCTCTCAGCCTGTCTTCACAGCAGAGGGGCTCCAGCGCTCTGATCATCTTCATGGCCCTCCTCTGGACCCATTCCAACAGGTCCATGTCATTCCTGTGTTGAGGACTCCAGAGCTGGACATTGTGCTCCAGGTGGGGTCTCACGAGCGCAGAGTAGAGGGGCAGAATCACCTCCTGTGACCAGCTGGCCACACTTCTCTTGATGCAGCCCAGGATGGGGTTGGCTTTCTGGGCTGTGAGCGCACATTGCTGGTTCATGGTGAGCTTCTCATCCACCAACACCCCCGAGTCCTTCTCCTTAGGGGCTGCTCTCCAGCCATTCTCTGCCCAACCTGTATTTGTGCCTGGGATTGCCACGTCCCAGGTGCAGGACCCTGCACTAACTGTTCTCTTCCATTCTGCCTCAATGCTTGCTCAGGCACCGTGCCCTGGGCCTGTCAGCTGTGGGATCCAAGGCGTTCCTGGCTTTGCTGAGAGACCTGTGATAAAACTTTTAATTTCCAGTAAGCGGCACCTCTTAGATAGTTATTTAAAGCCTTTGTCTGCATTGTTCCAGAACGATTTCCTTTTTCCTCTAAGGCAACCTAGAGTAGGAAACTGACGGTCCCTCAGGTAGCCCGCTTCCACCTCACTTGGAGTCTTGGCTGCTGGTTGGGTTGGAGGCCTGCAGAGAACCTGGGAGCAGGTCTCCTGCGTCCTGCCTTTTGTGGAGCCGGCCAAAGATAACACTTCTGGTTTGGTCTGGGGCAGCACAGAAGTTTGTCCCATTGCTGTTGTGATCAACGTATTCCACTTTCAGGTCAGAAGATTGGCATTGCTGAGGCTACAAAGTGGCTGTACTTGCTTGGGACATCCTTCTCTGCCCTTTGAACTGCACAGAAGTGTTCCTGCTGATTTCTGTGGGAAAAGCTCTTTTGTCTGGTGTGCTGCTCTGGGTGCCAATTAGTATTTCATACTGATTGTAAGGGAAAGAACTAGGGACTGATTTATGAAGGCTGTGGATGTTTCTAGACCAGAGCATTTTAAACAGCACGTGCGATTTGCAGATCAGTAATCTGGGAGTTGTTTGTTTGTTTTTAAAAATTGATACAGCATCTTAGCTATGGCTAAAAGTGTATGTTTACAGCCAGTTATGATGGAAAACCTTGCACTGTGAAACCAACAGCTATTCCTGTGGTAACAAATATGACCTGCAGAGCAGCAGCAGATGAATCAAAAGCAAGAGATTGAAGTCAAATTACAGGTGACAGTGCCCTTCCCGGTGCCAAGGACCACCTGGAGTCCAGCAGTATGTGGGGACTGGCATTTACAGCAACCAGAGCCCGTCTCAGCCACGGAGGGAATCACTTTCCAAATGCAGTTTTCCTGCCAACGGGGTTTGTTTGCTTGGTGATAAGAAACAATGGTCAACTCGGTTTGTTACTGGAGCATTTTAGTGACTGAGAAGTGGAATCTGGCATCGTCTGCTAAATCCATTTTCTTAGCTAGTCAAATGCCAACTTGGCAGCCTGTCGAGAAAGCTGATAGCGCTGGGACAGGCGTGATTGTGGAGATTGTTTTTTACGGTCTGCTTTTAAGACACCTCTTTCCATTGGGAAAATACAGAGTTACCACCTTCAGGACTGGAAGGACTGGATGAGAGAGAGAGGAGAGAGGTATGGGCATTGTCTGCAGCTTAATATCATGCTTTTCCAAGTGCCTTAGGAAGAGGAATGGGTTTGGCTTTGAGTTAGGCTGGTATTTA